CAGTGTAACCTGGGACAGAGGATGTAAGGAGGGATGGCTGATCATAAGAGGGTAAGTATGGGCAGAGAAAAGGACCCTGGCTCAGAACCGCAGGGCAAGGGGATCCCCCGGGGAAGGACGACTGAGGAGAGGAGAGGCGACAAGACCTGAGTCGAGAGTCCTGAGATCTGTCTTCTGATCACTTTCCTAGTCTGTCTTCAGAGCAATCAAATCAGGTGGTTTTAGCCTTTTTTTTTTTGGAGGGAGGAAGTTATAAAAATTTCACCCAGGTGGGCTCTGTGTCTGGGGTAGGGTCCCCCAGGAACACCCCTGACTGAAGTGGGGCTAGAACACGGCTTTCCAGCTCCCAAACGCCAGCCCCAAGACCCTGTCACTGTCGTTCTGATGGATGCTGCCTGGTTAGCCCCAAGTCACGCACCCCAGGAAGTTCGTTTTCTCTTTCTGGTCTGAGACCTTTGTGCATTTATTGAGGTGAAGGTTAAACCCCCAGAGAAGAGAGATTTAAGAGGCCTGTAATTCTTCTCTGCCAGCTTTGTCAACTCCTCAGGTGCTGGAGCGAAGTGGACGGGGAGTCTGCCAGCTGCTGGAGAGTTCATATCTGAAGAAAGGTTTTTCCACCAAGGGCCTGAGCTGACAATTCCTTTCCCCGAGATGCTGGCAGGTCTTGCCTATTTCAGGTACTTCTCAGCAGGCTCCCTCTGTGTTTCCCTCCACCCTGGACTGGCAGTGAGGCTGTGGGGAGGGATGATGAAGTCTGTGGCTTTCTCCGAAATTCTCAGTGCAGATGAGATAAATTCTCATCTCCAGAGCAGGTGATGGTCTGCCTCCCCACTTTCCCCCTCTCCTCACTCCCATCTGGAAAAACCTAGACAAGCCCCTCCCAGGTCTGCTTGCAACCCTGAAGATCTCTGCTGTTGGGGAGGGAAAGGGGGCTTGAGTTCACAGCCTGGCAAGGAGAAGGCTTCTGAATGAATCATTTGCTGTTCTTGACTTTGCATCACGTATGTAGGAAGAAAGGACCCTGATGAGTTGCTCTCCGTGTCTATGAAGGAATGAGCAAGTGGAATTGGATTTAAATAAAAGCAGACAAAACTGTGTGTGTATATGAAATTGACCACTGGATGGTGAAATATAGAATTGACTCTATGGCCCTTTAAGAACGAGAGTAGCATTTAGGGTTGGGAGAGCCAAGGACCTTGCCTCTCCCAGGCTGTGTCCTCATCTGTATGAAGCAAGAATACTTGCCCCACATACGCCTCAGGGCCAGTGTGATCCCCAAGGAGACACTGTGTGTGCCAGCTTTCTGTCAGCCATTAACAGGGAACAAATGTCAGTTGTCCTATTGTTAATAATACCAGGTGTGGCGGCCGCCTGCATTGAATGGTTTAGAAGGTCACTGGCCTGAAGACGGAGGACTGGACCAAGTGACCTCCTGAGGTCCCTCTGATTCTAGCATCGCTCTCCGAGCTCCTCTGCCTTTGTTATTGGAGGAACCCTGGCTACCAGGAAACAAAAGAGGAGAAATGGAGTGAGTCGTGGACGGAAAGGCTGGTGGTCGGGTCTGGAGGTCTCTAATCGTTTAGGAGGTCTTAGAGTATTTAGG